ATTGAATTGAATTGAATTGGTCTAAGGCTCAGAGATCCAGCAGTTGAAGGGAAGCTGCAGTCCCAGTTATTAAATCTTGGTAACAAAATAATGTTGTTGACAGTATAGAAAAAGAAACGATGAGTTTTGAATGAGTGAGCTTCGTGAAAGTACTATAAGTCGCCAAGTTGACGCGACTCACGCTCGAGTCCCTTCGAATTGCGACATGATGCAGCCCTCTCCCGCTCACTCGTCACCGTAATGACTAATGTCACGTGACGTACAGGGCCCGCGCAGTAGACATTTCGCCTCAGAAATGTTCGCACGGGACCTGCAGGCAGAGCTAGCAAGTAAGTAGTATTGGTCCGCAAGACAAATGCGCTCATCGGTGCTGACTCTTTCCAGCCCCGGAATATACAAATAGTGTTGCAGTTCCCCCTTTAAGAGATGCCTGTCATCTCGCCAGTCTTCTCGAACTGCTGCGTTGTGATCTGTAGCCACGAACTAGAGGTGACCTCTCTCGGCATTCGACTGCAGGAAAGCCAGTGAATCGCTATAACATAGAACAGTGGTTAGAACTATAGCAATAGTTATACAGTAGTTATAACAATGGTTAGAACTATAGCAATAGTTATACAGTAGTTATAACAATGGTTAGAACTATAGTAATAGTTATACAGTAGTTATAACAATAGTCAGAACTATCATGACAGACCTGTGGGCGCGCCCTGACAGGATCTGTTGAAAGGAGGCGGGTCCAGTCCAACCAACACACAAGCTCACAGTGGTGGTTGTTCAAAAACCACACTCTTGCCATTTATTCACAGGAAATGGAAAAACGCCACATCCAAATGAACCAGAACCCGAAAGACTGAGCTCTTCTTAGCTCCTGACTACACTACACTACACTAAAGTTCCCTACTGCCACGGCCAAGCAGCCTCACTGCTTCCTGGCCTCAGCATACAATACTAGTGTCTCCCCTCAGGCTCTTCTCAAAACATTCGTTTGTTCAGCGCTCACAGTTCCTTTCCCCAAAATTCACAGATTTTCTTCGGTCCTAGGTCGGTCCTTCTGCCACTGGCAAGCAGGTAATGCCCAGTGCCCCCCCCAGCCCCTTAGACAACAAACATCCACTCCCCTAAACTGACCCACCCCAGAAACTTCCTTGTCCTGCGTTTTGCGTTTTTTAAAGAGCCAATGGGCTTCCTGCAGTGGGTCAGGTGACAGAGAGCAGCAGCCTAAGTAAGTTTAGATCAGGTTCATCCATGCACACTTAAACTCAATGAGCACGTAAGTAGTGAAAACTGGCAGATAACTTCATTGGGCAATATTTTTGGATGCCCGGTTGTTAAGGGAAAGGGCAGCAGGACAGGAGACCGGGCGGGGGCGTAATGGTCGCCGGCGGGTCTCCGCGTCTCGGCGCGGTTCAGGCACCGCGGCGCGGTTTGGGAGGCCGAGACGAGCCCCCCCCCCCCCCCCCCCCCCCGCGCTTTG